AGGAGAGAGAGGAGAGAGAGGAGAGAGAGGAGAGAGAGGAGAGAGAGGAGAGAGAGGAGAGAGAGGAGAGAGAGGAGAGAGAGGAGAGAGAGGAGAGAGAGGAGAGAGAGGAGAGAGAGGAGAGAGAGAGAGAGAGAGAGAGAGAGAGAGAGAGAGAGAGAGAGAGAGAGAGAGAGAGAGAGAGAGAGAGAGAGAGAGAGAGAGAGAGAGAGAGAGAGAGAGAGAGAGTGACAGAGAAAGACTGGGCGAAGAGAGAGAAAGATTGAGCTATCAATATTTATTTCTATTTTTCAAATTACTTAACTGCCTAAATGAAAACAAGCATATTGAAGACATGGTATTTTCAGCTTTGCAGTTGATGCTGATACAGGCTACATCTTTATTCAGGATCTCAGCAACTACAACCTGCTGATGGGATAGGTACAATGAGTGGTATTGTCTGCATGGAAATCCACTTATCTCATAAATTGCCATTTCAGTCGGTGCTTGATTCTAGATAAAACGCTATTCTAATATGTAATCAATTTTATATAAACCATGCTGGGGGCAGGCTGCTCATATGCAATTATGGGAGGTTGCGCAATGGTCATGTTTCAATTAGAGGGCTAACTTTGCAAGTTATGAAGCCAGGGGAATTAGTGAAATTGAGGTCTAGCTACCAGGTCTGAAAGTTGTCTTGACTACTGTTTGCTCACACCTACATTCAGAAGTAAATGTCTGAAGCCTTGAAACTATGACATTCATGGAGAAACATTTTGTCTGGAGGCAAACAGCACACAGTACTGACAGTTCAAAATCCCCATATATGGGAAAAAATACTGGCAGAGGGAATAGATTGAAATGCTCCCACCTTATTCCCTGATTTGCAACTTTAGCATAGCATCCTGAATGCCTTATTCATCTTCGTTTCATTTGAATGCTTGTTCATGTAGCTACTGTACATCCTCTGCTTAAAATGTACAGGTATTTTTTTGACAAATATTGCATGTACACAGACTTTGCGGATCCAAACGGAATAAACAAATGGGACCCAATAAAACACTGTTTTAACTGTAATTTTTATTTGAATGTATTGTAATACATACAAGAGTTCTCCTTTCAAAGATATACAGAAAGTGACAAGATTCAGTTTTACAATATCTCGTGCCATGACAATGAGACATAAAGAAAACTAATAAAAGCCTTCCACAACCCCAATTTCTATAGTCCATATTTTCTTGATACATTACTATAAAATATTACCCATTCTTCACAAAATAAAAAGACAGCTGAAACCATAAATATTTTCTTTTTATTCCTTCATTTATCAAGTAATAATATACATTTCATTAATGGTAACTGTGCTTAGGTAACAGAGGTAAGGGGCATAATTTATTAAACATAGGAAAACAGATTCACTTATCTACCAGCTTTTGGTTCTAAATACAAAATTTCTACTTCTACTAATTAACAAGTTTTTCAGGTGCACCAATATTCTCACAGCATTATTTTCTTCAGTAAATAGTCAGGAATATTTAAAATCATAACAAAACAAAAGGTAATAAATAGAGTGAAAAGAGGGTGAATCTAGCATAAACTCTAGTTTGGAATCTGTCATGTGTTGACTATTTTGTCTGTCAGAAATAGATCTGCAGACAATGGCATCATGTAATTGAACTAAGCAGAACAATTCGTATCTATTGACATGGCCAATGACGCACAAACAATAGCCAAAATTCTAAATTCTTAAGATTGTTTTGCTATAAAAAGGGTATGAAGCACACAGTAGAAACCAGTCTATAGTGTTCTGTCTTCTTGCCTACTACACTATTTGAGAAGGTAGTTTTGTGGGGTGCACTCATGGTTTGTCTGGTTATGACAGTATTCCTTTTAACAAGGGCTGGACAAACACAAAATCATCAGTATGTTCCAATATGTACTAATACAGATTTGCAGTTGTCTTAGAATTTTCTGAGTGAACAGAAAGAGGGGTGCCATCCACACAATTTACTTGATACCGAAAATATAAAACACATTTGCCCCACTCACTGTATAAGAAATCCTTATTGAAAAATTTCAGCCTTTATCTTTAAGTGACCTAAAAGATATAAGCACAAAATAATATATATATATACACACAAAGATGATACATAAATCCAGACAAAACTTACTTCAAAAAATCTTTCTATAAAACATGAGATACAAATCTGACACAGGAATGCACAACACAGTATAAAAGGAGGACACTCTTGTACCACAGATGATAATGGTAGTGTAGCTCAAATTACTGATACTACCCATCACTTGCACTTTGAAGCTGATTTATGAGCATTGTAATCAGCATCAAAATCAAAGATGAGTAATCTTGAGACGATCATATTCATACCATCACACTGTGGTTTTTATACACTTGTTAACTAGCACAGAAACTGATAGTTTCAAGTCTGTGCAAGTTGGTCACACTTTCGCTTACTGGGACTGTACCTCCGATGGCTGATAGCAATGGCAAAGTTAACAAAATACAAAACTTTCAATGTTGAATCTTTAAATATGCCAAAAAATATACACATACTATTTTGACAAACAGTCAGTATCATCAGCAATTTCAGAGACAAACAGGACCACTGCCTCTAAGTACATAATGAGGCAAATGAATGGCTGAGTTTTGTTACAAATGGAGATGGACAACAAAAATAAATACAATTGGTT